GTTGCACACTTTTATTGTTTGTTTTCTAACGTAATAACATTATGCAAATAATAATTATGATTATTGAACTACCATTATTGAATTACCATTCAATTCAATTAATTTCCAGTACATTCATCAAATTGTGACTCTTAACCGTTTTTAAGGTAGTTGACAATGGAAGCTTGGGTACTAAATGACCTTTATTATTCAAAAGTCTTAATTAGTTGCCAGGATTTTTTTTTGCCATTATTACCGCTGGCACTATATCCACGTCATGATTAGCTTAAATTATCTTAAAGTTTTAGTCAAAATCACAGTCAAAACTCCCTGATGACCATGAATGATCTGAGTCCCAGCCTCCATATCCATGGTGACCAAAACCTCCTGWAGCTCTTCCAAGCATGTACCCCATAGCTGCCCCGCCCAGTGCCCCTGCCCCTGCACCCATTAACATCTTATTGGAACTACTTTTCTTATGTCCTTGGGGATTCTGCACATACACAGTTTGGGTTGGCGGTGGATTTTGGGTATACTGTGGTGCTGGTGGTCGATAGGCCGGTTGGGGGTAGGCTCCAGGTGGAGGAGCACCATAGGCCCCAGGTGGCGGTTGTGGGTATGGTTGTGGTGGGTAACCTTGTTGTGGGTATGGACCAGGCTGTTGTGGGTATGGTTGGCGTGGTGGTTGTTGATATGGTGGTTGTGGTGGATATGCTTGTCCTGGTGGAGGGTAGGCTCCAGTAGGGTTGGGCATGGGGTAAGGTCCAGGTGGTGCCTGAGCTGTGTACATTGGTGGTGGCCCAACTGCAACAAAAAAAAAAAACATTTAAAATTCTATTCAACTCCCATGCAAAGCCTATAATTCACAAATCTATCTTCAAAAGAATCTGAATTCTTCCATAACTTAACCAAATATTTCATTGATTGGTTGCTGCTGGTTATGTTGAAACTAGTTGTATGTGGCATCATAGCTGCCAATGGTATTTTCCTTTATTGATACAATTGATTTTGGTCTATGGTTGAAGTGTTATTTATCAAATTACAAGGGACAAAGGTCCTATGGTAATAACACTGTTATTACCAGTTGACAAGGATAACATTTAGAAAACTGAGTTTGAAAGTCCCGACATACAATGTTACTTGTCAACACTTTGCCTTCCTTTGGGCTTCCTTTTGTAATGATCATATCGAAGTTAAATGCAGGCGCCATTTGGTTTTTGAACATGATAATGCACAGAGCAACGTTTTTTAATTTAAAAAAATGACCTGGGAACAAGGTTGAAAGCACCTCTCCTCTCTCCCTCCCATTCTCCCTCTTCTTGCAAGAAGACAGGAATCCTGTGACTCTCAGTGATTCCTGTAGAGGAGGCTACACCATGAAAACAGTTTGCACTTTCACCAATCCCATGATAACTCTTGCCATATATGGAATGRCATCATATGAGGAAAGTGCCATAATGTTGCATGCAGATATAACTGATATTTTACCTGGAGGTTGTCCATATGGAGGTGCTTGCTGCGGATATCCACCAGTTGTAGGATGGGGTCCTCCATAAGATATCTATAATAATAGCACAAACAAAGATTTTTAATGACAAGCACCTTTTGAGATTTAATTTTGACTCTGTTTAGTAAAACATGCGCTTCGACAGAAGAGTTAGCTTAGTTAAAACAAATACCATTGCATGCAAAAAGATTGTTGTAGAATAAATACTTTTTACATGATGAAAATTTTTCAATTTTAACTTAATTTTTAACTTGATTCATATTTTCAATTTAAATTTAAATAGATTGCWSCATCTTAAGGTTATCTATTTKYGGCCTCTATACATAAATCAGAGTGWCTAGCRAGATTTTCCCAATAGGTACRTGCAGGGCCTTATTGGAGTATCAATTAACATAAGAAAATGGTCCCTTAATACTTACTGGGGTACGTGCTTGTTCCAAAGCTGCGACCCATTCCCTAAGGACAAAAATGTGTGAACGACGTAAATTAATAGTATAATTGAATGTTATAATAAGCAAAATCAATATTACATTAATACATTAAACTTGGAAACACACGAAATATTCTTTTTAAACTAACTGAAATACAAAAATGAAATGGTCTGGCCAASTAGTCGTGATGATTGAAGCAGGAAGCAGCACGTTGYATGTTGTCTCATTTTCACTAATTTTCCAACATTGTCTCGCAATAATAACATCTATAATAAACAGATTGACACAAACCTTGCTTCAGTTGCCGACTCAGCTACTAAAAAGAACGTTCGTTCTGTCGCTACAACGCTAAATAAAGCATCTATGTCTTTAGGTGCTTTGACTCCATCACCAACTTGGTATCCGACATTAATTTTACGACATTCGGTCTTCATATTAATCTTGCCATCGACTTCTTTGTCGTGAGGGTCTTGGTAATAGCAAAAGTCTCCACTTTGGTACAGTACAAAGTATCTCTTCTTCCAACTATTTTTAAAAAATCCACCTACAAATTGCACAAGATTCAAGATGAGACGAGAAACTCGTTTCACTTGACAGATTTCATCGCTTTCAAGCGACATTTTAGCCAAGAGAAATCGATTTTCACTTACTTAATTTTTCAAGCCAGCCTGATTTTACCGTTCCCATTTTGTATATAGTATAAATCCAAAGAACAGTTGTTATAATGACGGTGTAAAACCGGAATGACTCGCTCAAACTCTTCAATACGACATATATTATACTTGTTTATGTCGATCGTGACGTCACTGTGATAGCAAATCTATATTTAGTAACAATASCATCACGCAAATTCTTTTTTTTCGCAAATATTAACCCCACTTCAGCTTAATTTCTTAGCAAAATTCTTCAATAAATCCTTCACAACTTAGTAATAATAATATGAAAATGGTGAAAATATTAAAATGAATATTATCTTGTACTCATTTTTGAAAATTTTTTCTAACGATGGTAGATTAACCAATGTGCCTAAATAAATGCATGAAGCATCATCTGGTCAATGATTAATTTGAGAAATCCCTTTTAGTGAAAATGAAATCACATCAAAGTTCAAGGAAATGACCTCATGAAATATTTCCTGTTTCAATACTATATAAAGAAAACAGTTGAGTACATGATGAAACCCTAATCTGAACAGATAAACCCAAATAGATTAAAAAACAAACAAACTATAATGGTAAATATTTAAATTCATACAGATGTATTATGAGATGCCAGGGCACAAATCTTAGTTAGACTTGTTAAAAACGCTGTTTTAATTGAATTTGACATAATTCTTGCATAAAATCATTGCATTTATTTATATCAACAAAATAACCTTCATATTACACATCATTATATCAATCAGAAATTTTACAATCTTCMACTTCATGACTGGAGGGCCAGTACACYTTAAAAGCAAACTCATTCCTGGAAAATGAGCCAGGATTAGTGGCAGCRCAATCCAGAGCATTGCAYGTGTATGGATCATATCTATCTGCAATCACCAGCAGATCAGGTATGGGATATACTCTTAATGCYGCATCACARCCCCAATATACTGGTCGGACATGTATAGGCAGAGGACATAAATGAGCCTGTGCTTGAATGGTCTTGAGMAGCTGATCTGGAATTTCTTTTAGATTTGTTGGAATATGGATGGCATTACGGCACATTTTGTTCATAAGATCTTCTCGAAATATGATGATCTCTTGTGTGCAGTATTGGATTCTGCAKGGATTTGATGTAAATACMGCTAAAGGGAGCTTCTCTRTCACACCCTTAGTAATAGACTCTGGAATGGCAGGCCTTGGGATAACATTACCAGGGCCAGGATCCTGTGGTCCAGGAACAAACACAAATCGAGTTCCTTCGAGAAGAGAMGGAAACTCAGCCACTAGACTTGCAAATGCTTGAAAAGATTCCTTTAACACGCTGTATTGATTGGCACCATAAGGTTGCGAGTTAAAATTGCCACAAAATATGAACAAAGATGGTGGCATAGATGAATAGCCAGCAAACATTCGACGGAGTTTGTCCATTACCCTTGGCTGATCAAGAAACACGTCTGATAAAATAACGAACATGGCATCAGTGTTCTCTTTYTCCATTTCCTTCAATTTGTTAGATCCCTTTGCGCATGTTGCTGATGGTCCACCAAAGAARTTAATGTTTCCAAATTGATTCTGTGTAATTTTACTAGGCTCTGCRGGAGGGAACCCCATCGCTGTAACATGAAATATGTTGTCGTCATAATTACCCTCTGCTAACACAAAACAGCTYTCAGTATAGAGCCCAGTATGATAATTAGTCTGACTCAARTCAAGCTCCACAGCCCCAGTGGGGTCCTCTAAGTAGAATTTGCCCTCCTTAATTTGGCTCAGCATTCCCAATACAATGACTCGACTYAGACATCCAGTGCTTCCAAGTAAATATTCAACGGTTTTCAAATCAAACTTTTCAGAGCTTTGGTTCTGTTTCACAGCCTCTAAGTCTGCTAGGTTTGAAAACAGTTCGTGGCGGTTCGTTCGCTGGTGAATCAAAGTGTAGCGATCTGAAAACATGGACCATTTGATGTCGTAGTTCGGATGCAGACAGGTTTTACCAGTAACAGGGAAAAACTTCTTTCTGTCGACGTTAAAAGTGAACTTAGGCACATCAAAAGCATCAATAATACAAAACGCTTTGTCAGTATCTTCGTTTGGGCCTCTGCTGCATTCTTGTACCGCCGACTCGACTGTTTCGCGGTCGACGAGTGATGAATTCAATGGCTGTTTTTGAACCGTTTCGACGATCTTCTCCAACCATTCATCGACCTCAGTTTCAGACAGAGGAGAGAGAACRTCTCTGAGAAATTTCGTGGCTTCACTTTGGAGGGAAAGCCCATTTAACCTGAAGATTGAGAGCACTTTTTTCCTCAGTGGATCCGCCATCTTGAAAACAAGATCGAAAATGGCGGGAAATTAAAGTTGTACTGCGCATGTACAAGTTGCTCGAGCCCATTCTTCCGCATTCTCCTGTTTTCTTGATTCAGTTCAACAAGTGTCTTTGTTTTATTATTTTTGTGATTTTAACCTGACAAACGCAGAAGCTGGTATTGACAAATCAAAAGGCATTGCTGTTGCAGCTGTCGGTGACTGGATATCTAAAAAAACGTATTTTAGTGAATGTAAAATTTGTTCACAGACTTTCTCAGCTAAGATAAGGGTTTTAATAGCTGCAAGCGCTGTCCACCCTTCGTTCAACCGGCCCCTGACTAATATCTGCATATATTCTGACATATGGGCATAAATGAGAAATAGAATGATGTATTCGGAGAAAAAAATATCAGAAAGGAAAAGAAAAATGGAAAGTAATGGAAAAAGTGCTAAAAAACAAAATACAAAATGACGAAAGTCAACAACATTCTAAATTACCTTTTAATATATTTACAGGTAGATTGCTAGGCAACGGAAGACTATGATGTACCACAAAACTTGACAGTTCTGCGCAGAATCGTTGATAGCAGTCACGTGACGTTAGACATTTTGACAATGGGGTCGTCACTGCGAATAATATCATAAATCAAAATACCATTCACTTAAACTGTACTGAATGAGTGAGGGAAAAACGATTGGCATGTCCTAGCCCATAAGTATCGACGTTTTGTATAAGGCAGTTGGGTACTTGTGACTTATMCCAAAACWTTAATCGTTTTTAAACGAAAAATAAAATAAAATTTAAAAATACTTACATCTGCTGAGTGCCTGATCTAAGACGTTATCAACGGCAACTTTAGATTGTGTCAAAAAATCGACGCTCAGTAACGGCTGAAATGAAAACACAACAATCATTGATCCATAATCAATTGTTTGATCGCTTGCGCCGGACATAAAGCGCGCAGTAACTTTCTTTGGTAAATCAAATACAACTACTGAAGTGACGGTATAATGGGGTATGCGAGAAGGGATAGAGACCTTCTGTGTGTAACCACTGTAAGTGCATATCCTCGGGAAGGCTTGAAAATAGAACAGAATTGCAAGTTTGATTTCCCATAATGCTAGAGGGTCCAGCTTGTCCGCATTGTCCACCGCCTGCAAGAAATACAAGATGAATGAATGAATGAATGAATGAATGAATGAATGAATCAATCAATAAAGCAAGCAAGCAAGAAAGCAAGCAAATGGTTTGGTTATACCTTTTTCATGGATAAGTACAATTTTGTGGCTTCTGGTTTTTCTTCTGTAATGCATTCATACAAGATAGACGCAATGAAAGCCGACCTTTTCTTTTCCTACACAATACCACATAAAACGCCAATGAATATAAAATACACAGCTTAGCTATATCGCTTTCATACAACAAGATATCGATTCAAAGATACAATGAAAAACGGAAGTATCGACGATAAGATATCATCATTTGTTCTGAACTCACTTCATTCGATACTGAGAGCTTTTCACAAAACAAGCCGGCCAAAGCRACCATTTGCGGTTCCGACGAGAAAGATCGAATAACCTCAGTCTAAAAAGAACATTTGAAGCTTAATCATAATCTAATAATTGTGTAAAATCCAAATTTTGACAGGTCGACGTACCTTGTCAGACTGTTCAGGGAAAGTCCTAGCCAATAGATTGCGGTATCCCTGTGATAAAAATGACAAAAAAAAAAAAATATATATATATACTATAAAAATATAAAAAATATAAATGAATAAAAAATTTAATTAAATCAAAATGGATGTCGAAAGTGAAATGAACGAAAAGTTGCATAAATGAACGAATGGATAGATATATAATTGGGACATGATTGAATATATGGATGGTAGAAAGGATAGAAAGAAAAGACGTTCCCAACAGCAATGTACCTTGGGGTCATCAGTGTACGGTAAATATCCWGCGCGCCTTTTGACAAATACGGTGCCATACTTAGATAGCAGGGATCTAAATAAATAATAATAAAAAAATGATTTCACAAAAATGACGCTCCATTGTAGAATRTTAGTGGAATAAGAAAAGAAAAGGGAAAAGTGAAAGAAAGGAAAGTGCACAAGAAAGGAGAACAGAAAGGGAGACGAAATTAGAATGAAAGAAAAGCGAAAGGAAGAAAAGGGAATGCGAAAAAAGAAAAAAAAAGATTGAAAGGGACATCACTATCCTTCCAAACATAAAAACATAAAAAACTCGAAATGAATACCGGTTAATGGTGGCCCTTTTAACGCCTACCTATCGCTTTCTTGGTTGCTCTCTACTTCAATATTGATCGGTAGGTAACGAGGTCCTACAACTGATATCTGAAAAGTATAATAATACAATAATAATAATAGTTGATAATGATAATGGTCATGAGACACAGGAATGAAATATTTTACCTTTTTAATCAAATGTAGTTCAGGGATAATGCACGGCGAAGCCATACTCAGAACAGTCTCGGGGTAATTAACTGTGCTCTGAAAGGAAAGATACCGTGTGGTAAACGAACCGCTTCAAACACTATTGCCATAAATTTATAAACACAAAAGTTGATATGCAAAAAGGAATAAATACGAAAACAATTACAACTGACAAACAACACACAAAGAGATAAAGGAATAACAAATAACAAATAACAAAACTAATGTAAAACGACAGCAACAACAACAGCAACAACAACAGCAGTAGGGGCAGCAGCAGCAACAACAACAATAACATCAGCAACAACAACAACAACAGCTGCAAAAACTACATCAGCAGCAATATGAGCAGCAGCAGCAGTAGCAACAACAGCAGCAGTAGGGGCAGCAGCAACAACAACAACATCAGCAAAACATATGTGATTGGTCTTGGAAAACATGGAAGAGTTCCCGCGAGTGGCAGAAAGAATTCATGGTCTTTTAGGATACTTAAACAATAAGTATTATAAAAAAACAGTGTATGTCGTCCTTACCCTAAGAGTAACTTGTATTGGCGCGTAACAAGGAGCGTTGCTATCTACTTCTCTTGTAACAAGAACGCGAGGCTCAGTCGCGAGTACGTACAGATGTCGAAARGCCTGTAGATGATACCTAAATACAAAATGACAATTATTGCAAAAAATAACTAATTAGAGAAAGTAATGGAAGGACAGGTGTATGTACCCACCTGTTATCTGTACTTGAAATGGGAAATTTGGGATATAACGCACAAACCAAAGCAGCGATAGCTGGCCCTGATGAACTCAAAGTATATCTACCCAAACAACAATAAATAAAAATGTTATTTATAAGTGGCATCGCCAATTCAATGTCTGACACTTTTCTATCGACAATACTTTTCGGTCTATTGGAGAAGCGTTAAGCAGCGCGATTTGCTTTAGTATTTGTTCTATTGGAGTAGGGTTGTGCAGCGCGATGTGCTTCAGTATTTGTTCTATTGGAGTAGGGTTGTGAAGCGCGATGTGCTTCAGTATTTGTTCTATTGGAGTAGGGTTGTGCAGCGCGTTGTGCTTCAGCGTTTTCTACCCATAATTCTGCTCGGTCTAGGCGCTTTCTAAAAGACTGCATACCTTCCTCCTCCCAGAAATAACAATCCAACCGCCATATGTACRGCCATGTGACTACCATAYGATACGTCAACCGAGTGTCGCTTACGTAACTGACGGGCGATACGTAACACGTCCAAATTACCCGTACCAGCCATTACTAGTGCCAGGGCTAACAGAGTAACATTTAGACACGTCTCTATAGTTGGTTTACCAGCCTAGAGTCAACGATGGGAATTTATGGAATAATTAGGAAATAATTACCATTTCCGTTATTCCTTACTTATTTTAAAATTAAAATTTATGAGTTCGCTTATGGTTCTTGGCAGGCTATACATTTTTTTTGGCCTGCCAAGTACTAAATTTGGCCCGTCATTTGGCAAGTGGCAGGCCGCTATTTCGAGCCCTGTGGTTTCTCATTTCTTTTTCTCATTCCTGTTTTCCATTCATTTATTCTCTCACTTTTTCATTCTTTCACTTACTTGTTCCACTAGTGCAGATGACAGTAGGTTCTTGAAGTACTTTGTATATTGCATCTGATAAGAATCACAAGAGTTCAAATGATCACTCCAGACTGAAAATAATGACGATTGTATGATACTTACTAGGCAAGTAAATGCCTGCTGATTGGCTGAACCAGAAAACCTCATTCCCATKGCGAGRCARCAGCCACCAATGATGTTCGCCTTGGCTTGRCTGTGAAACGAATGAGCACAATCATAAWCATAAACATAAACTCAYYGCAGTCAACYCTCGTTATGTCCACCTTTGGGACCGTAAATAAGTTTGGTACAGAGAGTGTAAAAGGAAGTTCACTTTAGTAATGTCTTTGGAGCAGGAATTTTTAAATGTTCGTAATAATGGAGTATCTGCAAGGCTAGAGTTGACTGCAAATAACATAAACAATGTGAAAGCACACAACTATAACAAATAAAAGCACAAATAAAATACATGCAAATTCAAATTTTCTACAATAAAGCACCTTAGCGTCTGCAAATCAATATCCATCTCGTGCAGCTTGTCTACTTCAGCATTAGAAGTAAAAGCATACTTTTTCACGATCTATGGATAAGAAAACCCATGAAAAAAAAACAGTCATTCACAATTTTAAATTTGCGGTAAGGAGGGAAGARAGGAAGAATAGAGAGGAAGGAGGCAGAGGAGGGGACGAAGCAAAGTAACTTGTAACTTACATCAGGTATATGACTGTCCACCCAGTCACTAGAAGGTACAATGGCGTCCCACATGATAAGACCACGACTAAGGAGCTAAAGACAGTTGAAAGAACGCTTTAATTAACGAATAAAGCTATTTAGCGAGGTAACACCCATTATATAATGAGCTCGTTTCCAGGCTACACTCTGACACCCCCTCTCTCTTTTCGAAATGGCGGTGGTAAGTCATGTGACGAAAGGAAGATGTTAGGTCATTGGTGAGTTTAAAAGAAATCTTACCCGAAGAAGAAGAAGGTCCGGGCGGACTGAATCAAGAAGGAACTGCGTGTCCGGTGCATTTAACCAGGAAGCTACAGCGCTGTAAGAACAAAACAAAATTAGACAAAATATTCAAAGATGAAAGCAAAAACGTACAAAAGTACTGCTGAAAACTAAAATAAAAAATCACTTGAAATGAGATGAGTCCTTTACCTGTTGTTGGTCTTCATAAACATGAGAGCGAGGGCAAGGGTAGCACCAGGTGCAGTGACGTCAGTATTGACAGTATCACCTTCCTGGAATAATAATAATAATAATAATAATAATTAATATATTCATGACATTATACAGCTATTTCAGAATAATAATCAATATATTCATGACATTGAAGATATTGCATTTTAATCCTACTGTTGTTGCCCTAAAAGAGRTTTAACTGTTTCGCAGTGGCTACGTAAGCTCTGTATATTCGATGTAAAGCTTAGTTTAGAATTGYCATGAACGTGCGCGGAATCCAATAGCAACAATRYCCTTGGAATATGCTATGCAGTATCACAGTATTCAATTTTGTAAGGAAACCGAACTCAGACACCCCGGGACGTACCTTGATCAAATAACTGGCAGTTTTGAATTTCTCTTTTTGCGTTCCACTCTAAAATGAAGTAAACGAATACAAGAACGAAAAATCAACAACAAAACATACATTTATTACTTTCAWACACAGGTCTAGYAYTGACAAYATGGTGGCAACGTGAAGGTTCGTSAYTAACATCATTCCTTATGGTCTCCTCAGMAGCCYTTTTGTCGGTGTTAACAAATGGAAGGGCTGCCGAGGAGACTAATGTCTCTATAATGTTGATTTATTTCAGCAAGAWTGTGTTGCAACCGCTCGTTTACCTGAGCTTTCTTCTGCCCACCGACCATATAGTGATAGAGTTGATCGGCCATCTTGAGATCAGCAACCCCAGGAGCCTCGTTACCATGCTGTAACATATTTGATATGTAACATGATTTGATAGGTCAATGGACAAGGGACGCCATCGAATGAATGGATGAAGAGATGAAGGAGAGCAGAAGAAAGTGCGTGAAAAAAGTGAAGGAATGGAAAAAGTAAATAAATCAATGTGAAAAGCAAACAAACACGAAATCAAATAAATGAACAAAAATGAAAGAGTGAATAAATTGAGTGCATTTTACCTCTAACATAACAAGCCCTAATGCGAGACCAGCAGACAAMGAGTACGACTCCCTGTTAACAGCATTCTCCATTTCAGGACCCGCTGGACGCCCTGCCGATGAATGATCGATCAACAAACGTACAATCACATGAAAAATTACTTTACTAACTACTCACAAGCAAACAAGGTAGGCAGAAAAAAAATCAACTACATTATCACCTATTTCAGAAAGTAGCACTTCAGCCATTCTCCTGTGTGCCGTGGCCTGGTAGACAAGACCAATGCCAAGAACTCCAGCTACTTGGGCTGAATGGGGAACGTCAAGTTCGGCAGAGGTGGGAGGAAGAAGTGCGTCGACATGTATACTCAGCACCTTAGTAGTCGATACGTCCATTGTACAGCGTCTAAGGATAAAGGCAGGATTGTTAGGAAATCAGATGTTTACAGGAAGGTGAGTAAGTGAGTGAATGAGTGATTCATGAGCATCGTATTTTTGTTACAGATTTAAGATGACCTACTTTGAAGCAGCAATACCGATTAGCAGACCAATGGTCGTCAATTCATGGCCCTAGAAAGTAACATTTTTTTTGAATTAGCATAGTTTATACTGTTCGCTTTGCAAAGATTTCTAAGTACTGGGGTGGAATATAGCGCATGTCTGATTTTGGAAAATTTGATTGACAGATGACGTTTAGGGGATCGAACTTGGGGGCAGCAAAGACTTCTCGGAACGCCGAGGACAAGAGATTAGCTCGCACTCGTATTATAGTGCTAGACTATGTATCGCTCTATAAGTACTATGTTGATGATGATGATGATGATGATGATGATGATAATATGCCTTGGTCACCTTGCTTAAGTAATCATGTAGATTCATGTCTGCCAGGCTCGATAAATGCCCATTCAAACCAAGAGCCATCAAAAATCCTGCATGCTCATTGGTCAGTTGATTGTCCTTTGGTTTGTTGTACACAATCCACGCGCTGTCAATCTACAAAAGACAATTGGGTTGAAGATTACACAATTTAATAAACATTGTTGGGTCCACAATCACAGAAAATGAGAAGCTTGAAGTTGAACATAAAATTCATGCATGATTTACACCAAAGTTGCTAATAAATTTTAATTTACAATAAACTTTCCCGCAATGGACCTTTTCAGTTTCTATATTTTATATATTGTTTTAACCTCGAAGCGACTATCGACTCCTGAACCTTCTAAGTTACTACTTGATTTTCGATGCATTGTGGGATCAGTTTCTAGAGAAAACAAAATAACTCCGCCATGTTCTGTCCCAAACATGTCCTACAATGCAATGCGTATATGGTACATGACGTAAAAGCTTCAGAGGTCTATTCATTCCAATGTACGTACAAACAAAGTGAAAAGATATTCATTACCTGTGAAATACCAGGCGCGATGCGCAGTCCTGCAGCCACTCCGTTATGAAAGTGAGGCCAGACCTTCATATCAGATGGTGTGTCCACGTGATCAAGTCCTACAGCTGTGTTTCTGTTAAAAAATAGTKTTGCATATAACCACCATWARWKRCCMWYTKSAT